CTGTTCGAACGTGCGGCATGGAGAGCTTCGTGCCCCATGTGACAGCTCTGTTCAGATTCACGAAATTTCCGACTAGCGACGTCACGAACACCCATACGAGGTGTGGCGAAAAATGTAACATTTCACCTGTTCGAACGAGCGTGCTGTTCGAACTGAGAGGTGAAGCGCCGTCAACCCAACCCAAACTCACCTTCTCCTCTAATTTGATGCCCAGCCGCTGATAAACCAGATCGAACTCCTTCCTGCTGACGTCACAGATCTTGGCCCACGCTTTCCGGTACTCCTCCTCCCCTCCCTGCAGCTTCACCACCGCCCTCTGCGCCCTCTCCTTGAACTCTGCGTCCTCATCAAAGCGCTTCTTGGCCGCCTTGTAAAAGACTTGGAGATCTCCGATGGCCTGATCGCCAATGGTTTCCCAGTCAGGGAACTTGTCGAACAGGTATTCAATCAGCATGCCAAACTGACGTGACACAGACAAGACAACAGGAGGGAGGGAAGTGAAGGGAGCGGGCGGGAGGGAGGGGAAAAGGGGAGTCGAAACGGAAGGGAGGAATGGCAGGAGGGTAGTGAGCAGCACCCCTCTCCTTGAACTCGGCGTCCTCGTCGAATCGCTTCTTGGCCGCCTTGTAGAACACCTGCAGGTCGCCAATTGCCTGATCGCCGATGGTTTCCCAGTCGGGGAACTTGTCGAATAGATACTTGATCAGCATGCCAAACTGCATGGGTTGTTGAAGGAGCAGAGTGGGGAATGGGGAATGGGGAATGGGGAATGGGGAATGGGGGAGTGGATAAGCCCAAGAGCATGCTAGTAAGTGCCTTGTAAAACACCTGCAGGTCGCCTATTGTTGCCTGCTCGCCCACGGTCTCCCAGTTGGGGAGCTTGTCGAATAGATATCCAATGAGCATGCCAAAGTGCATGGGGTAGGAGGGGAGTGGGGGGGGAAAGATTTTCTAAATCTTAAATCCTGCTCCATCCTAAACCCCAAGCCCCGACCCAATCCCCAGACACCCCCTCGCCCTACCTGGATGCCCCAGTCGCCCACAAGGTTCCTCCTGAGGACCTCCACGTGGCAGTACTCGAGCATCCCCTTTCCCCTCCCCTTAAACCCCAAACCCTGGTTGTACCTGGGTGCCCCAGTCGCCGACGTGGTTCCTCCTAAGGACCTCCACGTGGCAGTACTCGAGCATGCGGGCCAGCGTGTCACCAATGATGGTGGACCGCAGCGCAGGTGCCCCACGTGCATCTCCTTGGCGATGTTGGGCGACGAGAAATCCACCACCGCCCGCGCCACAGGCAGGTAGCCAGGGCGCGCAAACCCACCCTTCAACCCCGAAAACCCAAAACCCGAAACCCTGAAATACTGGGATCCGAACCCCAAAGACACCCTCTCCCGGCCTACCTGAGTGCCCCAGTCGCCGACATGGTTCCTCCGCAGAACCTCCACATGGCAGTATTCCAGCATCCTGGCCAGCGTATCCCCAATAATAGTCGACCGCAGGTGTCCCACGTGCATCTCCTTGGCGATGTTGGGCGACGAGAAGTCCACCACCGCCCGCGCCACAGGCAGTTTAGGAGCCCACGCAGCGATGCCAGCGCCCTTCAAGACGCCAGACACGTGCTCTTCCAGCCAGGCTTGCGTCAGCACGATGTTCACGAAGCCCGGGCCGGCAATGCTCGTCTTTTCCACCATCGGGGAGGGCGGCAGGTTCTTGGCGATTGCCTGGAAAGGAGGGGAGGGAAGGTGGAGACACGGGGATGACAAGGATTCGGGATGTTTGATTCCTGTTTGGTTTCTTGGAAAGGCTGGGCTTTGATTGTTGGGCGACGACAAGTCCACCACCGCCCGCGCCAAAGGCAGTTTGGGAGCCCACGCAGCGATGCCAGCGCCCTTCAAGACGCCAGACACGTGCTCTTCCAGCCAGGCTTGGGTCAGGAGGACGGTGTTCACAAAGCCCGGGCCGGCAATGCTCGTCTTTTCCAGCATCGAAGAGAGCGGCAGGTTCTTGGCGATCGCCCATGAAGGTGGAAAGCAGGGAAGGGGGGGGAAGGAGATGGAAAGGCAGAGGGCACCAGGTACAAGGGGGGGTTTGATTGCTGTCAGATATCTTACAACTGGAGAGTGAGAATGGTTCGATCATTAACTGCCAGTAATATATACCTACAATTCGCCCAGGACCTGAACCTCTCACCTGACCAATGGCGTTGGGGTTCTTGAACTCAGTGGAGGGTTGATTGTTGTCAGATATCTTACAACTGGAGAGTGAGAATGGTTCGATCATTCAACTGCCAGTAATATATACCTACAATTCGCCCAGGACCTGAACCTCTCACCTGACCAATGGCGTTGGGGTTCTTGAACTCGGTGGTGGACCCCTTGATGCCCGCCCAGCCCATGGCGATGTGAGGTCGTAACGTTGCTGCTGCCAATGGCGTTGGTGCAGCCAACGCTGCACATGAACACACACCCACGCTCTCGCCTGGCCGATGGCGTTGGGATTCTTGAACTCGGTGGTGGAGCCCTTGATGCGCGCCCAGATGCCCATGGCGTCGTAACGTAGTAATGCTGCTGCTGACAATGGCGTTGCTGCTGCTGCCAACACGCACACACTCATGGGGCCGCAGCTAACTCCCACCCAAACATGCGCATGAACTAGCACACACCCACTCTCACCTGGCCAATGGCGTTGGGGTTCTTGAAGTCAGTGGTGGAGCCCTTGATGCGCGACCAGATGCCCATGGCGTTGTTGCTGCATGCACAAATGGGGAAGGGAACGTCAAAACGGCGAAGAGAGACGGACAGACAGTAAAATACTGTCACACATGGACGACTTCTGAGTCGACTCATGAGTTGACTTTTGAGCCGGCTCAAAAGTCAAGACGGACAGACAGTAAAATGCTGTCACACATGGACGACTTCTGAGTCGACTCATGAGTTGACTTTTGAGCCGACTCAAAAGTCAAGACTGACAGACAGTAAAACACCGTCACACATGGACGGATGGACAGAAACAGCCCTGGAAGCAACAGACGGACTTAGAAAGAAACGGCTGGTAATAACCGTTGCAGCGTGTGAAGCAGAACAACAAGCAGAGAAGACGCACCATTGGTAGTCCCCGAACTTGGGGTTGTTACACGTGGTAACCAGCGGCTCCAGATCGGGCAGGTCGGGAAATGTTTTCGCCAGAGACTGCGCCACGAGCTGGGCTACCAGGTCACGCACGCTGCCCTCCTGCCCCTGACGGGCAGAAAAGACGAGAGGGGAAGGCGAGGAAGAAGGGAAAGGTAAGGGGGAGGAGCGTTTGAAGAGGGTAAGAGAAAACGAGCGGGGGAAGGGGCGGGGGAAAGAAGGGGGGAGAGAGGGGAGAGGGGGGAGCGGGGAGGAGGGGGAAATGGGACGGGAGGTTGCGTTTAGGTTGAAAAAATCGTTGACGTGAATCCAGTTACAACTCTCGACTGTTGAATCGGATTACAACTCATGAACCCAATCCAAACACCTCCCTCTCGCTCCTCCCCCTCTCACTCCTCCCTTTCCCACTCCTTCTCTGCCCTCCTTCTCTGCCCACCTTCTCTGTGTCGCTGATTTCCATCGTCTTAACCGCTTCAGCCGCCGCTGCTGCAGATTCGCTCGCCATCGCTATCACGCTCGTTGAGTTTCGCAAAGGCTTCGCGAACGCTGTTACAGGTGCTGCGATTTGCGCAGAGAGAGGGTTCGCGGAACGCCAAGCGAGGGTTCTGCTGCGGGGGTTGAAGGCGGAGGCCGAATTGGAAGCGGAGGCGGAGTGGCAGAGAACCGCGGGGGCCGCGGAAATGCGGAGAACCGCGGGAGCAGCGGCAACTTGCGGAAAGGACGAAATCCGCCCGTAGGAGCCGAAGCAGCGAAGGCAAGGAGTTACCACTGCGACATGTGATTGTAGCCAGCGTGACAGTACGCGAAGGGAAGCCAGGGGCGGTATGGAAGGAAAAAGGAGGAGCAAGTTTGATAAGGGTTCGACTGATTTGAATCCGGAGAGGTACGAAACGCTTTTTTACGCTTACGGAGGTAGTGTTTGGAGCGAGGTTTTGGTGATCCCAATGCAATTAATGACGGTGACAGAAAAGCAAAAACGATTCAGATGATGAGGAATAAACACGACTGGGAAGACCATGGTACATTCTAGGTCACCAACTACACATGCCAGGAAAAGCAGAAAGCTGACCTGGCAAAAACTGGTTGGATAAGCAGCGCATTGGCTCAACTGCAGGCAGGCGATCGCGACATGCGAACCTTAGCGAAACGGATTACAGAGGAAAAAAAAGGGATACCTGCACTTATCCTTGAACAACGCCGCCTGAAACGGCGGATGATTAGGGAGAAAGGAGACGTGAGAAAAAAAGGACCATTGAAAGAAGTCAGGATTTCGGAATTTGGGGAAGCTGGCCAGCGTGCTTATATCGAAGCCTGATTCGCGGATGAGGAGGCTCGGAAACTTTGATAGTGAAGGGGTTTCTTCTATCGAGAGTGGCGGGAATCCCAAGGTTCTGCGACTACGACGGATTTTGGCTGTGGCGACGAAACTTGTAGCCACCAATGAAATGAGAATTTACGAGGTACCAAAGTTACCAGAATGAATCTGGTAACCTTGCGCGAAACGAATTTGGCTTCTCGTCACTTTCATTTTTCATTGCGAAGCAAATGCGAAACTGCTCCACGGAATGGTCTGTTGAATCCAAATCCGAAATCGCGACAGGCTTTCGTGCGGTTCAAAGTGGTTCCTACCAAGTAAAAGCGTTTCTGTAAACCTTCAAAACGGTTCGGTGTGATTTTGAGGAGGAAACGAACCCCTCTGATCCTGGGAATTGCCCCCATCTGACAACATCACCAGCTTGAAATGACTACTGCTTTGCTGTCAGGATAATATAGAACGGCTCGCTTTCCGACTCGATACCATTCACAGCGATTTTTGTAGGTCCTGGTGCTTTATTTGGTGATTTTTTGTCTGCGCGAACTCTGAACACATTCATGGCGATTGGTCTTCAGCCTTCGTTCGTCGCCACCCACATCAACTCTGCCGTCCCGTCTCTTACGTTACCTCCGCAAGTTTCCACCTTCCCCCTCACATTTGCGCGCATTCCACCCGCAAGTGTCGCGCTCACCACTTCCCCATGCGTCCTCCCCCGCGCGCCCCTCCGCGGGGCACCTTCCCGCGCACGGATCCGCTCATCGCCGCGAACAGCGGCGGCACGCGCGGCAGCAGGGGGCGACGAGCCGCTTCCCGCGGGTGGCGACCCGGCGTTGGCAGCAGCGGCGTGGAAGGCGCTGGTAGCGGTGCGCGCGAGCCGGCCTCTGATTCACTGCATCACCAACTTCGTATCCATGGATGCCGCTGCTAATACCCTCCTCGCCGCTGGCGCCGCGCCGGCCATGGTGCATTCTCTAGAAGAGGTGCGCTGTTCTTCCCCCTCCCCCTTTCCCCTTCCCCCTCTTGCCCCCTTCCCCCTTCCCCCTCCCCCTTTCTCCCTTCCCCCTCGAGCCCCGCAAGTGGAGGATTTTCCCAGGAAACATTCCCACACTCACACCGTATTGGTGTTACACCTTCGAGAATTCTCAAAAGTCACACCCACACCACACCTCCCCCTGTCCTTTCCTCCCCCAAACCCCCACCACATCTCCCCACCACCCCTCCCCTCCCCATTCCCCCTTCTCTTTCTCCCCCATTCTCTCCTCAAGCCGCCAGGTGGAGGAATTTGCCAGCCTGGCATCGGCGCTCTATGTCAACATTGGCACCCTGAGCCCCAATTGGGTGGACTCCATGAAACGGGCAGCCAATGTTATTTCTGCCCGGAATCGGCCGTGGGTCCTGGACCCTGTGGGTTGCGGTGCCACGACGTACCGAACCAAGGTAGGCTCGTTCTCACCGAACCAAGGTAGGCTCATTCTCGCCGAACCTAGATAGGCTCATTCTTGCCGAACCAAGGTAGGCTTGATGTTCTCACCTGCCTTTCCTCTGCTGCCTATTCTCGCCTGCCTTTCCTCCTTTACGCACACCCAAGCAACCTCCATCTCTATCGCTATCCGTTTCTCATCTCTCACCTCTTCTCACCGTCTCTCACCCCTTCCCACTCACCTCCACCCTCTCTCACAGACCTCGGCGGAGCTCCTGGCACTGCGACCAACGGTGGTGAGAGGGAACGCATCTGAAGTGCTTGCTCTGGCAGGCGCCGTCAGCGCAAACACCCGGGTAGGCCAAACCCCAACATTCTGTTGTGTGCTTTTTCTCTTTTTCTGGGGGGGGGGGGGGGGGGGGGTATTTGGGGGGAGTTCTGGTGTTTTGGTTGAATGTGGAACTGCTTTTTCTGGCAAGCACCATCAGCGCGAACACCCGGGTAGGCCAACTTTAACATCTGTTGTGTGCTAAGGAGGTAGGTACCGAGGCGATTCTTCATTCAACTGAAAAAAAAAAAAAAAAAAAAAAAATCTCATATGTTTCAAACCGTTTGTAACTGCACCTTCCACTTTCCTTTCTACTCCCCTATTCTCCCCCCCAACGCACAACCAGGGGGTAGAAAGCACGGTAGCATCTACAGCAGCAGAAGCAGCAGCACAGGAGCTTGCATCAGAGTGACGCTGCATCAGAGTGACAGTGGTGGTGGCGGTGTCGGGAGCAGCAGACTCAATTCCTTGCTTCTCCTTCCGCCCCTGCTTCTCCTTCCTCCCCCACACCCCACACCCCACCCCCCACCCCCCACCCCCCACCAGGGGGTAGACAGCACAGTGGCATCAACAGCAGCAGTGGCGGCAGCGCAGCAGCTGGCATCAGAGCGGTTAACAGTGGTGGCAGTGTCGGGAGCAACTGACTTTATGTCTGGCCTCTCCTTTCTTCCCCACACTCCCCACCAGGGGGTAGACAGCACGGTAGCGTCAACAGCACCAGTGGCAGCAGCACGGCAGCTCGCATCATAGTGGGGGACAGTGGTGGCAGTGTTGGAGGCAACAGATTTCACCCCCTGCCTCTCCTTCACCCCCTGCCTCTCCTTCCTCCCCTGCCTCTCCTTCCTCCCCAACCCCACCCTTCTCCTCAGGGAGTAGACAGCACGGTAGCATCCACCGCAGCAGTGGCGGCAGCACAGCAGCTGGCAGCAGAGTGGAAAACAGTGGTGGCAGTGTCGGGAGCAACGGATTTCATCACCGACGGTCGCACCGTGCTGGCGTGTCACAACGGGGTGCCACTCCTTCCCCTCTCTGTTCGCTTTTTCCTCCCAGTGTCGGGAGCAACAGAACTCGTCCCCTGCTTCTCCTTCCTCTCCCCACCCCCCCACACATCCTCCCCACCAGGGGGTAGACAGCACAGTAGCATCAACAGCAGCAGTGGCGGCAGCACAACAACTGGCATCGCAGGGAGGGACAGTGGTGGCAGTGTCAGGAGCAACGGATTTCACCACAGACGGCCACACCATGCTGGCGTGTGGCAACGGGGTGCCTCTCCTGCAAGCCATCACCGCCACAGGCTGCAGCGTCACTGCTCTCATCACTGCCTTTGTTGCTGCTGCTGATGGTCATGGTCCTGCTTCGGATGCGGATCTGTCACCGCCTCTTCTCGCCACGGCCTGTGCTCTCGCTGTTTACGGGTAATTCGTCTACACTCCTTCCCTCTGCTTTTCTTAGACCAGCCCCCTCTGCTGCAAGCCAGCACTGCCACGACTCACGCCGTTCTTGCGTGTCACAACGGGGTGCCTCTCCTTCAAGCCATCACCGCCACAGGCTGCAGCGTCACTGCTCTCATCACTGCCTTTGTTGCTGCTGCTGCTGCTGCTGCTGCTGCTGCTGCTGCTGCTGCTGCTGCTGCTGCTGCTGCTGCTGCTGCTGCTGCTGCTGCTGATGCTGATGCTGATGCTGATGATGATGATGATGATGATGATGATGATGATGATGATGATGATGATGATGATGATGATGATGATGATGATGATGATGATGATGATGATGATGATGATGATGATGATGATGATGATGATGATGATGATGATGATGATGATGATGATGATGATGATGATGATGATGATGATGATCATGATGATCATGATGATGATGATGATGATGATTATGATGATGATGATGATGATGATGATGATGATGATGATGATGATGATGATGATGATGATGATGATGATGATGATGATGATGATGATGATGATGATGATGATGATGATGATGATGATGATGATGATGATGATGATGATGATGATGATGATCATGATGATCATGATGATCATGATGATGATGATGATCATGATGATCATGATGATCATGATGATCATGATGATCATGATGATCATGATGATCATGATGATCATGATGATCATGATGATCATGATGATCATGATGATCATGATCATGATCATGATGATGATGATGATGATGATGATGATGATGATGATGATGATGATGATGATGATGATGATGATGATGATGATGATGATGATGATGATGATGATGATGATGATGATGATGATGATGATGATGATGATGATGATGATGATGATGATGATGATGATGATGATGATGATGATGATGATGTGTCACCGCCTCTCCTCGCCACGGCCTGTGCTCTTGCTGTTTACGGTTAATTCGCCTCTCTGTTTCCTCCTCTCTGTTTTTCGTAAATCACTTCTCTCTTCTTCAAGCTATCACTGCCAATGGCTGCAACCTCACTGCTCTCATTGCTGCCTTGCTGCATTTCTGCTGCTTTTGAGTCGACTCAAAAGTCACCGCATTTCTGCTGCTGCGGACTAAGCTTCTGCTCATCACGGTGCTCCCTTTCTTGCCTCGGGTGCTTCTGTATCTCCGCCTCTCCTTCCCATGACCTGTGCTATTGGTACCTACGGCCTCGGGTCGTTCTGTATCACTATTCGTCTCCCTTCTCCAACCTACCTTATCTCTGTATTGAGGCTCGCATTTGAAGTGGCATCAGCAGCACCAGGCGTCCATGGCTCTGGGTCCCTGCGAGTGGGCCTCATGGATGCTCTGTACTCGTTTAACAGGGGAGCAGGTTACTGGAGGAGTGAAGCTAAACCTCATTCTATTTCCTCCCCTCGTCCTTCCTCCCTTGGGTATTCAGGCTCGCATCTGAAGTGGCATCAGCAGCACCAGGCGTCCAAGGCCCTGGGTCCCTGAGGGTGGGCCTTATGGATGCTCTGTACTCGCTAACAGAGGAGCAGGTCATTAAAGGAGTGAAGCTACACTCCATTCCAGTATAATAAATAAAACTATATAATCAACCTGTCACTTTTTTTCTCCTATGTAAAACAGCCCCATGCACCTCATTGCTCCCTCGCAAGCACACAAGAGTAACTCCCTCCCACGCAAACACAATGTTGTTACTGCAAAGAGTTGATTTTTGAGGCGCCTAAAAAATCAACTCACAAGCACACAAGGGTAACCCCCGCGCTAGCACAATGTTGCTACTGCAAACACCAGCAAGGAAAATCATATTTCCTTGCACTCGGGTGCCACGAAAACTACATAAAGACAACCACCGTTATTTCAACAAACTGCCAGAGAAATCATTTGGGAATGAAGATCAAATCGCCGGGGAAAATCATATCAGGGTCCTTGGCCATCCTGCCCTCGTTTGCGTCAATCACCGTGTCGGGGTGAAGGCAGTACTTGTCAGCAATGGCACACACAGTGTCACCAGGTCTCACCTGGGGAATAGAAGGGAAGAGAGGAAGAGAGGAAGAGAGGGGAGGGCAGGGAGAGGAGTTGAGAAATATTCAAGGCTGCTTTGCATTGAAGTAGTGGGAATGTGGAGGGGCTTTTCTGGGAGGAATTCCAAGATGAATGGAAGATGAGACTTTTGAGTTTGAGTCGACTCAAAAGGCAGGGAGGGTTTACGTTGGAGAGGGGAGTTTGAGTCGACTCAAAAGGCAGGGAGGGTTTACGTTGGAGAGGGGCAGGAGGCAGGAGGCAGGTGGCAGGCAGGAGGCAGTCAGGAGGCAGGAAGCAGGCAGGAGGCAGGCAGGAGGCAGGAGGCAGGCAGGAGGCAGGTGGCAGGCAGGTGGCAGCCTTGTCATTCCTTGGTGGGAACGACGAGGAGGTCTTCTGGGAAGATCACGTCTGGATCTTCCACCAGCCCCTCTTGGGGAGGCAAAAAGGCAGCGGGGGATTACGTTGGAATGAAGAAGAAGAAGAGGAGGAGGCTGCTCTGCTTCGTCATTCCTTGGGGGGAACCACGAGGAGGTCTCCAGGGAAGATAACATCTGGATCTTGGTGTGTTTTGAGTTTTCAAAACACACCTGGTATAAGAAGCGGCTGCTCTGCTTCATCATTCCTTGGGGGGAACCACGAGGAGGTCTCCTGGGAAGATCACATCTGGATCTTCCACTAGCCCCTCCTGGTTCGCCTCTTTCATTGCATCCACTCGCACGCAGTAGCGATCAGCTATGCCACACATGGTGTCGCCTTCTTCCACCTGGGGAGGTGGGGGTGGTGTAGGGGAAGGAGAGGAGGACAGGGAGAGGGCAGGGGGGGCAAGAAGGGCAGGGATCATGCGAGGGGTTCCCCGTCAACCCTCCTGGTTTGCCTCTTTTGTTGCCTCCACTCGCACGCAGTAGCGGTCAACGATTCCACACATGGTGTCGCCTGCTTCCACCTGGGGAGGTGAAGGCAGAGAGGGGCACGGAGGGGCACGGAGGGGCACGGAGGGGCATGGAGGGGCACGGAGGGGCATGGAGGGCAGGGAGGGGACAGGGAGGGGCAGGGGGGACAGGGAGGGGCAGGGAGGGGCAGGGAGGGGCAGGGAGGGGCAGGGAGCGGCAGGGAGGGGAGGGAGGGTAGAGAGGGCAGAGAGGGCAGAGAGGGCAGAGAGGGCAGAGAGGACAAAGTTGCCAATGGTAAGCCCAATCGCCAGCAGAAACAGCCCCCTGCATTAGCAACCACTGCCCGCCCTATCCCCCCAACCACCCCTCCCCATGCCATTATGGTACAACGGTTTCTTCTGCCTTCTGTTCTGCCTGCCTGCCGTGTCAGCAGGAACAGCCCCCCTGCGATTGCAACCACTGCCCGCCCTACCCTGCTCCCAACCAGCCCTCATTATGCCCCAAACGCACCTCATGGTACAGCGGTTTCTTCTGCCTTCTGTTTTGCCGGCCCGAGTTGCCAATAGTAGCCCCAATCGCCAGCAGGAACAACCCCCCTGCAATTGCAACCACTGCCCGCCCCGCTCCCCCAACCAGCCCCCCCCCTGCCCCTCCCCTGCCTCCTCTCCCTCGCCCGCCCTGCTTCTTTCCATTTGCTAGTCTGTCGTGCCGGCGAGAGTGAGGGCGAGTGGTGGAGTGTGGAACTGCCACAACCATCGCAGCTGCTCTTGCCTCTGCTTCTGCTTTCGCTGCAGCCTCTGCCTTTGCTGCTGCCTCTGCTGCTGCTCTTGCCTCTGCTTTTGCTTTCGCTGCTGCCTCTGCCTCTGCCTTTGCTGCTGCCTCTGCTGCTGCTCTTGCCTCTGCTTCTGCTTTCGCTGCTGCCTCTGCCTCTGCCTTTGCTGCTGCTCTTGCCTCTGCGTCTGCTTTCGCTGCAGCCTCTGCTTTTGCTGCTGCCTCTGCTGCTGCTTTTGCCTCTGCTTCCGCCTTTGCAGCAGCCTCTGCCTTAGCTGCTGCTTCTGCAGCTGCTCTTGCCTCAGCTTTTGCTTTTGCTGCGGCCTCCGCCGCTGCTGCTGCCTCTGCTGCTTCTCTTGCCTCTGCTTCGGCTAATGCAGCAGCCTCTGCCTTAGTTGCAGCCTCTGCTGCTGCTCTTGCCTCTGCTTCTGCTTTCGCTGCAGCCTCTGCCATTGCTGCTGCCTCTGCCTTTGCTCTTTCCTCTGCTTCTGCTTTCGCTACAGCCTCTGCTTTTGCTGCTGCCTCTGCTGCTGTTCTTGCCTCGGCTTTAGCTTTTTCTGCAGCCTCTGCCTTCGCCACTGCCTCTGCTGCTGCTCTTGCCTCTCTTTCTGCTTCTGCTGTTGCCTCTTCCACTGCTGCGGCCTCTGCAGCTGTGGCTGCATCTGCCAATGCTGCTGCCTCTGCTTCTGCTATTGTTGCAGCTTCTTCCGCCATTGTTGTGCCCCTTACTGCCGCTGCTGCCACGTCTGCCGCCGCTGCTGCCTCTGCTTCTGCTTCTGCTGCCCCAGCTTCTGCTGCTGCTTCTGCAACTGCTGCTGCCGCCGCTGCTAAGGCTGCTGCATCTGCTACTGCTGCAGCCTCCCCTGCTGCTCCTGTCTCTGATGCTGCGGCTGCCTCTACTGCCACCGCTGCCCCTATTGCTGCTGAAGCTTCTGTTTCAGCTGCTTCAGCCGCCGCTGCTGCTGATGAAGCCTCTTCCACTGCTGCTGCTCCTGCTGCTGCGGCTGCCTCTGCCTCTGCTGCAGCTTCGGCTGCTTCAGAGGCATCTCCCTCTGCTGCTCCCTCTGCTGCAGCTGCTGCCGCGTTAGCTGCTGCTGCTGCCCCCTCTGCTGCTGCTGCAGCCTCTGCTGCTGTTGCGGCCTCTCTTGCCGCTGCATTCTCTCCTGCTGCTGCTGCTTCTGCCACCGCCGCCGCCTTTGCTGCTGCTGCTATCTCTCCCGCTGCTTCTGCCTCAAACGCTGCTGCTTCAGCTTCTCCTC